TATAGGAAAATACAACACCTCTACAATAAAAAGACAAGTAACCCAATTAAAAAATAGGCATAGGACATGAACAGACACTTCACCAAGGAAGACATTCAGGCAGCCAATAAACATATGAAGAAATGTTCATGATCATTAGCCATTGTTGTTGTTATGTGCCGTGGAGTTGGTTCCGACTCATAGTGACCCTGTACAGGGTTTCCGAGGCTGTAAATCATTACAGAAGCAGAAACCCTCAACTTTCTCCTGCAGAACAGCTGGTAGTTTCAAACTGCTGACCTTGAGGTTGGCAGCCCGACTCGTAACCACTAGGCTTCCATTAGCCATTAGAGAGATGCAAATCAAAACAACAATGAGATATCACTTCACACCAGCAATAACAGGGAAGTTCAAAATAACAGAGGACAATAAATGCTGTTGAGGATGTGGATAGACTGGGACCCTCCTTCATTGCTGGTGGGACTGCAAAATGGTCCAACCACTCTGGAAAACAGTATGGCGCTTCCTCAGAAAGTTGGAAATAGAAATACCATATGATCCAGCAATTCTTCTACTTGGTATATATCCACAAGAAATACGAGCCATAACAAGAGTAGATATATGCACACCAATGTTCATAGCAGCACTATTTACAATAGCAAAAAGATGGAGACAGCCTAAGTGCCCATCAATGGAAGAATGAATAAACAAACTTTAGTACATCTACACAATGGAATGTTACGCTACCTTGAAAAATAACAAGGAAGCTATATAAGCCACCACATAACATGGATGAACCTTGAGGACATTATGCTAAGTGAAATTAGTCAGTCACAAAGGACAAATATTGCATAAGACCTTTATTGTAAAAGCTTAAGAATAGATACCCATACTAAAAGGGGGAAAAAAATTCTTTGTTGGTTACTGGTGGGGGTGGAGTGGGGGGTGCTGGGGGAGGGGGAGGGAGTCGACTGTAGAGCACAGGGTAGTGGACAGACACATCATAGTTCAGGTGTTGGGAAGGGCAATACACAAGAAGGGAGAGGGGGTGGAAGAACAAGGTAGATAGGGGAATGCTGAGACAGGTTTCCATGGGCTAAATAGGACAGAGGTAAATAGTGATACATGTTCAACCTTGGAACAACAGTGTTTTGTGATACAGGGATCGAGGCATAGTCTGAAGAGGGGAAATAATACTAAGATGCTTGACTGTCTTATGAATATTAGTTTCTCTTGCTTACTATTGCAAAATAGACACTTGAGTAGGATAGAAAGAATGTTGGGAAACATGATTACAGAAAGCTTGTAAACCTGTCTTCAGCCTATAACTGATTGGAATACCTAAAAGGGGTTCTAGAACTTGCCCAGTGAAATAGGCTTCTTGTGGAGACTTTGCAGTGTATAGGACCTTAGGTGGAATCATGAGCCCAATTCAGAATGTTCTGAGGTGGGACTTTCCTAGTAGAAAGGACAAGCAGACCAACCTGGAACAGCTTGAGTGACAGAAGATACATTGTCAAAGAAAGATCAGCAGGAAAAACCCAAAACAAAAATGGCAGTATGATTGACTACTACAAGAATAAGCAAGTTGTTCACCAGGAAGCCATCAAGGCAAACAATCAAGTCCCTTCAGGACAAACCACCCCCCTGCCCAAGACTGAAACTCAAAGGGAACACATGAACAGACATGTACGCTTGCT